ATACGTTATATCGGTCATTCTGACTGGTTGCACAACGGTAAGAGTCGATTCGAGTGTGTTGAGGGGGTGGAAAAATGACGAGAGCACGGTGGCATAGTCTGTTTCTTGATTTTTGTGTGTAAACGTTTGCTCAAGTTTGGTAATAAGAAAAATAAATGAATAAATTTTTCTCATATGGTGGAAATTGATTTGAAGTTTTTCTTTCGGTAGAATGTTAATGATATGAATTTAGAATGTCGTGTAATAACACGTGTTATTTTAAATTTTAATTAATTTTAAATTGTCTTAAATTACGTATCGTTAAGTAATTTCTAAAAGAACTTTGTTAAGATAAATTTTTGGAAATGTAACACATTATTGATCATTAGATTGTGAATTTTTATTTTATTTATTGTTTATTATTAGTTCAATTAAAACAAGCTTAAATATTTAACTACGATAACACATAGAAGATACGTCGTATTATTCAAAATATATGCTGAATAGTATTTAATAGATAAATTATCATATAGTATTATATTTTTCGTGTTCTTGTTATAAATAAACCATTCGATATTTTTCTAATTTTTAACGGTACATGGAATACGATTAAATTTATGATAACATTCAATTGTAAAATTAATATTTAAAGAAATATATGTAACATATTCATTCATGCTGTTTGAAACATTTAATATGAAAAATACGTATCATTAATGATTCAAAAAGAAAAATCGTAACATGTTTGCATAATTAGATCAAGACTTGAACAACACAATTAGACAAAAATAAATGTAAAACGAAAAAAATGATATTTATTCAAAATTTACGTTCTCTTTACCTTATGAATAATTTCCAATACACGTTTCATATCTTCAATAATTTATCTCGTATTCTCGGCAACGTTACTCGCGTTGCATAACAGCATACGTCGACGTAAGAAAAGAGTATCGGAAATTCACGGTACACATCTCGAATACAGACATCCGTTCAGATTAATAAGTTCCGGCATACTGTATTGGACAGCGGCAAGCGAAATAAGTAATAAATAAGCCGATAGGAGATCTGAAACGGAACGCTACATATATTTGCATTTTGCACTAGGATATACCTCGGCGCGCGAGTTCACGTGAACGTGCGTAAAGATAAATGGAGTCGAGCTAGGAGCACCGCGTAATTCCAATGCTGGGCTACTGATTCATTCGACATTGTATTTGTTTCCTATCTGAATAACGTGAGACTACGAAATCGTATTGTTCGTGCACCGTTCCCGTCGCGGTATTGTCTCCACGCTTAAAAATCGTTGTTTTAAGCCTTTGAGCGAGTTGTGCAGAATTTTAAAATCCTCGGCCTCGTGCTAGATATTTCAAAATTATAGTTTTCGAACCATAGCATAGATATACATATGTGTAATATATTTAAACATAAGCGTATTTTTTTTTTAATTATTTTTAAATAAATCAAAGATGTGATAGTTGTAAATATTAATATTGTTATTGTTAAAATTTAGAAATTTGTTATTTTTATGTTGTTTTGTTAGAATTTCAATAAGCTGAGTTTATTATTAAATTAGAAACGTTAATATTTTATTTCTTTTTTCAAATTCCTTTTATCCCGAATATGGCAGAAATTTTCTTTGTTATCGTATAGGTATTTTTTTCTTTTTGTTATTTTTATTTTTGCGTCTTTGTTGATATTATTATCAAATAATTATATATTTTCACTTTTTCATTTCTCGAAAAATCTGATAAATTCATGCTTGAATTATTGGATAAAAAATGATTCGAGGAATGTATGAAATACATTCGTACAACTTTGATTCAATCCAAACGTTTCTTTCTATACTTAATGAGTTTTGCTTAAGGAAAAGAATGTTAAATGCATAAAAAGGAAAACCGTTTAGAAATTCATTGATTTAATATCTACAATGAATTATAACTCATTCATACGTAGCATTGTGGGTTAGCAGCAACATGATGTATGGTGAATGAATGTCTTGTAACACTTCGTAGAATTTATCCGAATCAATCTCAGCATCATTGTTTTAATCACGTTCGAGACAAATACGCGACATAAGTGTCCTATAAATGAATTTCTAACAAGAAAAGTTATCTCTTAAATTAAAAATAAAGATATTTTTAGAGATTGCTATTCTGAAACTTGAAATGTACGAAAAGAATATTGTTTGTGAATAAAAATAACCTATCTTTTTTAAATATATTTTATATATTTACTTTAGATCTTAAAAATTTTTCTAAAATTCCACAATTCCATCGTTTATTTCGTTCATTATAATAAATCTTAATCTGCTTAATCAATAGTTTACACTGATAATATTCATATTTTTATTTTATATTATATCTATGTTCCTTTTTAATAATCCTTTATAATTAATAATATTAATAGAACGATATATCAAATCGTACAAATTGCATTAAAAATCATAGAAATTTATGATTAACGACTATTGAGAAAAATAAAACAACAACAACAACAAAGATGTTTTTCAAATAGAAACAATCTTTAATTGATATGAAATACAAAAAAAATAAAAAACTGCTTAAAAATTATGAAACAGATCGAAAAGTCATCGATCTAGCGAGATTTCACCTTAATACAAACTTTATTAATCAAGTTCGACGAAATTGTGCCGATATAAAATTATTCTCCTCAAACGTTGATCTCATCCGAGAATATCGAATCCTCAAACAGTGTCAAAATCGATGTGAAAGCCTTGGAGAGGCTTGGTCCGCATCGGGAAACGATTCTCATCCGCCGTTCGTCGTTTTCGGTGTCGAACAAGCCTGCGAGACCGCAAAAAAGAAGACGACACCGCGGCGAAAACTGGAATAGCCGAGTGGAAAGGTCGCGACCGTTTCGCGGAGGAACGCGGTTGCGGCGAGACGGTAGCAAGAGCGAAATTGACGCGGCGGCGGATCCATGACGCGGTCGGCGAATATAGACGTACGGTCGGTCGGGTTCGGTGCATTGGGCAACAGGTAACTCTGAAAGTAAAGCAATGCGAGGGTACGGGCGAAACGACCGCGAGAACGGCCGCTGAAACAGGGTCGGAATGAGAGGGAGCAAGATTAAAGGGGGGCAGAGAAAAAGAGGAAGACGGAGAGGTAGAGAGAGAGAGAGAAGAAGAGAGAGCGCGTATCAAGAGGGAGGAAAGCAAGAGAGAGCGGAGGAGAGAAGAGAGAAAGCCGGACGTGTAGCAGCAGGACGTGGAAAAGAAGGAGAAACACGGGGGGACGAGAAAAAGAGGGAGATAGAGGAAGAAGGAAAGAATGACAGAGGGAGAGCGAGAGAGAAAAAGAGCGCGAAAGAGAGCGACGGCGGCCGAGGTAGGATCGTAGAGGTAACATCGTAGAGGCTGGGACCTGATCCCAAAGGTAGGAGGACTTGGGTTGGCGAGGCCAGTCCATCGCGGGCCCTCCTCTCGACCGAACGCGCTTTACTTTCTGCCCGCTCGTTCAAATTCCCATGTGCACGCGGTGTACCCGTCCGACTCCCCATGCCGGCTAACCCCTGCTCTCCTACCTTTCCTGACCACGGTATACTCCTCGATGACTCTGCCGCTGCTACTGCTGGCTGCTGTTGGTGCTGATAGTGGTGGTAGTGGTGGTGGTGGTGGTGGTGGTAGTGGTGGTGGTGGTGGCGGTGGTGGAGGTGCCGGTGGTGGTGGTGGTGCTGCTTGTCACTCCGCGTGTCTGATGGTGGTGGTCGCCTTATGGTTACCTTGAACACCGGGTTGCACCGCGCACACCTTGCACAGTTACCCTCTGCTCCAGTTCCGCGCCGCAACTCGGGGCTGCTCGTTCCGTCGATCGCGATTTTAAATCGAAGGATCCTTCTCCTCTTACGTCGAACGAACAGTGACCTCGAGAACATCCGATGAGATCGGTAGGTGGACGTTATCTTTCGTATTCGAGAATTTCAATCGTCGCGACGATTCCATTCGAAAGAATCGAAGTCGTCTGCTCTGGAAGCGAGAATGTGTTCGAGAATGTGATCTCGGATGACTAACGAGCTGTAAGATCAGTTGCATCGTCGAAGAAGTAGAACTGGATCTTCGAGATAGGAGGCGACAACCCTTACACCTGTCCCTGTTCAAGTGTCCGATTGGTGGACAGGGTAAATCGATCATGAAATTTTAATTACAACGGCGATAATCCGAGCAAAAAGGGGAGAGGAGATCAGATACGCGTTATCGCAAGGAGTGGCAGGTGAACGATGCTGTTGTTAGTCCGCCACCGATCTTGACACGGTATATCGGATCGTTCGGTTCGCGGAACTTAAGGTTGCTTACTTTGTGGGACGTGGTTCAAGGTATCCCCACGGTGGCATTCACCGTGCCGTGGAACCAGGTGGCAAGTTGGAACCGTGGCATACAAATTTCCGTGGTTGAAATAAGGCGTGTCACGCCGCGACAACATTTTTTGCGGGCCAGCTATAAGTTGAAAAAAACTGACAAAAGGGAAGAATAAAGAAGCGGAGTGGGACAATAAGAACCGGTAGCACGGGAGGGGTACTCGTTGAAAAGGAATTCCTCTTCGTTAAGTTAGCCGAACAGAGGAGGAGAGGAGTGTTCGTGGCCCCGATGGAAAGAGAAAAAGAACGCGGGCAACCGTACGGAGAAACGAACGTTTCCTTCATCTTCGTCTTCATCCACTGATTCTTCTTCTTCTTCTTCTTCTTCTTCTTCTTCTTCTCCTCTTCTTCTTCTTCTTCTTCTCCTTCTCCTTCTCCTTCTTCCTCCGTGCACCGCGTGTACGCGAAACGAAACGAAACGAACGAACGATCGATCGATCGATCACGCTCTCCCCGCTGCAATCTCCACGGACTTTTAACGCGGCTATGATGAGCCGATCGATAAGTCCGCATCACGGAATTGTTAGCCAGATCGGGACAATAAGACGATATCCTCGCGTGAGCGATTCCACGCCAATAATACGTCGCGTGAGCTTGATATCTGCGATCGGGCAGAAAGCTCGGCTATAAAACGTTCCCGTGTCGATGATCATAGCTGGTTCTTTTTTTTTTTTTTTTTTAATTAACGTACGATTCTCTAATGACCCGGCAAACTGCGTAGCAAACGTTAAACATTCACGAAACGTTAGAAGAATCGACTCATCCTCTCGATCTGATCTTCCTTAATGTCATCCGTGATGCGGATGATTGCATCGCGATTTCGAGGAATGAAAAATCGGCGAGGACGACTCATCATCATAGGTGGAAATCAAGAGTGAAAGCGTGGATCGAGGAAGCTGATAGAGGAAGAGAGGAGTGGAATCAACGAGCGATTTCTACACGCGATCCCGGCATCAACGCCGGTTGCTTGTTCGCGCTTAGTCACCGCTCGAGCGGACCATTCTCGAGTATTTGGCGATTGCAAACATTCTCGCCGGGCCAGTTAATCGGCGCAAACACTTTACACTGTCCAAATGTTGGCTCCATAGTTTGCGCCTGTCAGCAGTGCGCCGCTTTGTCTCGACAGCTCTGAGATGAAACACCGTGCGCGGTGACTTTAACGAGGCTCCTCGCCGATGGAACGAAGATTGCTGTTCCAGTTGTTGCCGTTCGGCTAATAACAGATATTTTACAGATGATCGCTGCATGAATATTACGAACGATTTTTGCAATTTTTGTTATTGCTTGTGCCCTTATAACGTTTTGCAATTATTGTTATTAATTTGGATGTAATGGAAGAGGTAGTTGAAAAAGCAAGCATCTTTAAAAGGAACTGTGTTATCGTGTTAATAAGGGAATACGTAATTGATGTGATAAAAATCATTCGTTCGAGTTGAATTTTTTATAAGAAACAATCTCGTCGAGATAATTAAAAAAAAAAAAAAAAAAAAAGGAAAAAAAAGAAGGACCAGAATTCGCTCGAGGTAGATCGTGTTGTTTGTATACGGGCGTGAAAGAGTTTCGTGCGAGAAATCGTGCAATGCCGTGCGAAAGGACCGTGAAACGCGTGTTATGCCACTGAAACGACAAACATCCGATCTGCATCCGGTTGTCTAACTGCGGAAGCGTAAAATTCCCGTCCCGTGTGCATCCGTTTTATGAATTCAATAAACAAGGGGATTGTGATGTAAGAGATGCGTTGTGGTGACATCGCGGCAACCGCGATAGCCCTTCTCATTCTTGGGCAGATCCAGGGACCACGGCAGACGAGGTAAGATATTTTCGTTCATTGGAAATTTAGCATCCAATTGAATCTCGAAATTTCGAAATTAATAGTAATTAATAATTATCGGTGTTGGATCAGTCATTTATAAATTATAATTTGCAAGTAAATCATCAATATATGTATTTAAACTATTTATTCATAAGGTGTAAATTTAATAATTAAAAAGTGAGTTGATATTTATTGCCATCGTTCGTTTGACTATTCATGATTTTATACGAATGTTTATTTAATAAAGATTAATATGATAATATCGATAAGATATGAAATGACATCAAAAATAAGAATTAATTTTAATAATTTTAATCGCATTTAATGTTTTCTGCAGATAATCGTTGGTATTTTTGTTTATTTCAGCTTCGGACAATTTTATTTAAGTAGTTTGTCAACTTTTATAAATTTTATTGGTTTTTTGATTAAAAATATGGATCTACGATGAATCTACGAAATAGCAATTTGATGATTAGAAAAAGAATTTTTACAAATTTTTAAAAAAAATTATAATTCCATTGCGTATATTTATTTCTAATTTTTGTTATATGTTTTATTATTTTTATGTTTTTAATATTTTTACGTTCACAGACTCATTAGTTATATATAATCAGTTACAAAATTATTTAAACAAAATGTTCTTATTTTTAATAAATTTTTTTTATCAAAACATTATTTTAAAGAAACAAAATCAATGCTCAAAATTTCAGCTTTTTTAATCTTTCAAATATAATTTTGGTAATGGTATGAAATAAAGCCAAATTTTAAACGATAAAATGTTGTGAAAAGTATTCTCAGATGAGATTATATTTAAAAATAAAAAATGCCGAAATTTCAATAAAAAATTGCTCCATACGTAATCTATCACATGCACACGAAATTTCAGCAAAATCAAATAAATTTTCTTCTAACACACAATGGTTCTAACAAAAACCATTCTAAAATTTCCACCAAACGTACCCTCTACCCATCGCCACCCGTGACGTAGTTCGTTTAACTTGCATCAACACCGCGTCTCTTCTCAGCGGAAGAATGAAAAGAAGAAGAAGAAAAAAAAAAGAATTCGCAACTTTATCATCGCATTCATATTGTGCCGTCTGCGCGACACGTACCCTCTCTTCAATAACAAAGTAGAGAAGATATAGGGTCCACTATAGGTTATTTGTAAAGTAACTTTCTATGTTGGTCGGCTGACAATATTCACAAAGGCGTGTCCCCTCCTTTTTTTTCCTACGAGAGAAAGAGAAACAGAGAGAAAGACAGAGAGAGAGAGAGAGAGAGAGAAGACAACGACAGTAGGAAAAGAGAAGCACCGCCGACACGCAACGGGGCCCAGCGAAGCGAGGTGATCGCGTTTGGGCCCTCGAAGGGATCCGGAACGACGAAGGGACCACCTCGATCGAGATTCGGTTTCGTCGCAGAGACTCAATCGTTCGCACTTCACCGGTAGATCCAACCTGAGATAAGGGTAAACGACCTATCCCCGGAGGCTGTTGTAAAAATACGGGGGTACGCTCGATAAACCTTCCTTTTTCCTTCTTTCTGCCGCACCGTGACACTGACGAAGCGTGAAGGCTGGCCGAGTAAATTTCTAGGCGAAATTTACTGTTGTTTTCGGTAATTTTGGTGCTGGTTTGAGGTAGCGTGCAGCGAGACAGATCTTGAAGTCCTTTTACATAAGCCTTTCTTTGACTTTTCTTTGGGAAGAGGATTTGTTGGCGTTTTAGTCTTTCTTCTCTTTTTTCTTTTCGATAATTGCGATCTACGTCTACGATCCATAGATCCAGAGTTCTCGAATCTTCTCTAAACTGTCTCTGGTTTACTACTTTCTTCGACAAAGAAAGAAAGAAAAGTTGAAAAAGGATTGTGGTGAGACAAAGTTTACTTTTCGATCATGCTTGTGTATTTGAAGTAATATTTCGAAATGTTTCTTTTTGTTTTCTTCGATATTGGGAAAATGGGAAGATCAAAAGGATTTCTGAAATTTTATTCCTTTTTTGATAATTTTCATTAGAGATACGTGATTTGAAAATCTTTCCTATATTATAAATATTTTCTATTTTCTTCGATGAAGCAAAGTAGATTAATAGGAGTTATGCTAAGGCAATTTTTATTATTGTTTTTAATAATCTTGTATACGTATTGTATTTAAAATATTTACTGCGAAAATTTCGAAATCTTTTTAAAATCTTCTTGTTTTCCCTGACATTAATTGTATAAAGATAGGTGGTAACAGAATAGATATATCTTATTATTTTCAAAAGTTTGAATTATAAATAAATAATAATATGATAGAACAAGTAACTACAAATGTATTAAAAATGAAATATAATAGGATTCATAATCTTTTATTAATATATTAAAATTCTAATTTTGTAATTAATATAATTAATATACGAAAAATATTAAATACTTTACTTATTTCTTTTATACGAAAATTATTAGAAAAAATTATGTTAAATTATTAAAGATTATTATTAAAAGTTAAATTGAATGAAAATCAAGATTTACAATATAGAAATTACACATAGAAATTCATGAAAATTAGAGGCAAAATTGATATATTGTAATTAAATGTATTTTTTTATTATTTAAAATTTTAGACAACATTTTTCCTTTGCTTTAAAAATTCTCAAGTAATTAATTATATTTTAAAACAAAGTAATATTTATATTTTCATCAAAAATTTTCTGTATTAAAAAAAATATTATTGCAATAATTTATATATCTAAATAAAAACTAAATTTTCATCTTAAAAATATAATAATTTAATTTCTTCATGTTTTTTTCAAAACATTTTAAAATAAGAAATAAAAACAACAATATAACATATTGAAATTTATTTTTCATTATTCTCGTAACAAATATATTTTGAAACAATTTTTAAAATTATAATCATTTAATTAAATCAAAAAGATTCAAGAAAAGAAAGAATTACTTCACCATCGAAACTACAATTTTTCCTCGCAAAAAAAAAAAAAAAGAAAAATATATAAACGAAGTGCCATTCGTGTAGAAAAAAATGAAAAATGAAAGAAAGCATCAAGGCCATGCGAAGGGTTGCATCTAGAGGCAAATGTAACGCGAGGCAAGCTCTGCTCATCGTATCGACACGTGCTGCGGACCCGTCACACCTTGTCAAACTTTCACACCTGTGCTATGAAGTTTGATGCACGGCCCAGTGTTCTTACGCGTATGATAAATTCAGACAGCTCCTTGAAAATCATGCATTGAATTACGCTCTTCTTGGGCGCATCCTCTTGACGTTTACACGTGTTCCTCACCTGTGTGTATTAATTTTACCGGTATTTTACAAAGTGTTATATACGGCGAGATCTACGCATGCCTGGCGACGATTTAGCTGTAAATCTTTACGGCTACAAGATTTTAAAAGTCACCCTGACATTCTTAAATGCAGTTTCGTAAATTAGTTAGGAGAAAGGAATTTTATGAGATAAAATTCAAATTTTCTTTTAAATTTGCAACTTTGCGCAAACGTTTTAAGTTGTTTTTTTTTTTTTTTAATTTTAAAAAGAATATTCAGAAATAATATTTTTTCTAATTGTGGAAATATTTTTTTTACATATTGTAAAGGTAATTTAAAATTGCATAAATTCTGGAGATCAAAGTGATCATTGTAAATTCGTTCATGAACATCTTAATTAATTTTTCAATCTACTAAAAATCTCAAAATTCTACTAAAAGTTCATTTTATTATGACTTTTTAATTTAAAAATTATTATATTACATTATCTTTTAGGAATTATTATTATATTTAAGAATAATTATTATACATCGATGTTAATATATAATAAAATTTTTTAAATTACATTACATATTTCAACTGAAAAATTATTCGCAAAAAAGAATAAATCCTCCAATTTACAATCTTTCGCTTTGCATCTGAGGTCGTATGTATTCCGGCTATTCATGCGTCTAAAATCACATTCCATCGTACAACTACCAAAAATTCCCCTAAATTCTCTTGCCAAGCGAGCGACTGCTTTATTTTTAAACCACTCATACCGAATTCACGGCATCGCATCAACGTTCGTCGTCTCGAACAATATACATTAAATTATGAAAATATGACACAAAATTCCATATACGCTACATCAGCTTTCTTCACTTAACTAATTATACGTTTCTTGCTACGTTTCCATTCTATCTCCTCTCATTTTATCGATCAACTTTTTTATCATTCATAGATTGCATTAATATTTATCGGATTATAGATATTGATCAACGTGTCAATCAAAATATTTCTCGTTTGATTAAAAATTACGTTTCACTGTTTCATAGTAATAAGGTCGTAACAGAAGTAGCCGAGTTTTTTCGTTGTTGATCGTTACGCATGGAACCGGCTCACAAATTGCCGTTATTAAATTATTAAGAGATAACATTATCACTGGTTGATCGTCATAACGATGGAATACCTTTTCCACGACTTTGTGTAATCTTACGTAAAGACACGCACATAGATTCCAATCATTCACGTTTATACGTGCACGATATCTGTGTATTAAGAGGTGAATTTAGATTTTTCATTTGGATATGCATCACGGATGATTCATCCATGTGAAAGATAAAAACTAGAATATTCACACGAATCCTTTTATTTTTAGAGAAACGACACGCAACATAAGGCAATAAATTTGTCCCAAATCTGATTCATATGCTGTATATAAAGTGTTACTGTACTTATATCTTTGAAGGGTTGATTCTAGAAGATCATCTAAACATCAAAACAAGCACAAAATATTGAGATTTATTGATTAAGTTGTAAATAGAGTATGGAAAAAATTTTATGCAAAATAAATGATTACTAAAGAAATGAAGCTTAAATAAAGATTTATTTTGTTCCTTAAATTTTTTCATATTACATGCATTCTGTAGATTTTTGTATATTCAAATTTTTCATAAATGTAAATACATCATGTGGTGTATTTATAAATAATAAAATTATTAAAAATTCCATCTTGCTTCGTTTAATGCAA